GATGGGAAACCAAATTCGGAAATACATCCAGACGTGCGAAGCGTGCCAGCGGACCAAGACCAGAAGAGCCAGGACAGGGAGTTTGCACCCGCATGCAGTTCCAAACGCGCCGTGGGAAATCATCTCCATGGATCAGATCGGACCCCTGCCGGTCAGTAACGGGTATGACGCAATTCATGTGTGGTGTGACACCTTCACCAAAATGATCCATGTCGAACCAATTAGTACTGACATCAGCAGCGAAGGAGTAGCACGATTAACCAGGGACCGAATCTTCCGCTATCACGGGGTCCCCCGCAAAATCATCACTGACAGGGACTCTCGATACATCAAGGGCTTTATGAAGGAAACGAATCGGATGTTGGGCGTGGAAATGAATCCGGGGACCGCATATCACCCCATCACGGATGGGCAGACGGAGCGTATGAATCAGGAGATCGAACACTATCTCCGCATTTACGTCAACTACCATCAGACAGACTGGTCGGAGTGGCTGGGAATGGCGGAGTTCGCATACAACGACAAAATGAACACGTCTACCAAAATGTCGCCGTTCTATGCTAATCACGGATATCACCCATGGAAGGGAGTGGAGCAGCGGATGGAATCAAGGAACGAGTCGGCGGAGGAATTTGTAAAAAGAATCAAAGAAATACAAGACGAAGCAAAAGCAGCATTGGAAAAAGCAAAAGAAAAAATGAAAAAATACTACGATAAACAAAGAAAAGAAGTTCCGGAGTTGAAGGTTGGGATGAAGGTGTACATAGAAGGGGAAAATATCGAGACGGATAGACCATCAAAGAAGATGAGCGACAAGAGATTGGGACCATACGAGATACTGGAGAAGGTTGGAGCGGCCGCATGGAAGCTGGATTTGCCGGACACGGACCGAAGACACCCGGTGTTCAACGAGTCACTGTTGACACCCTATCACGAACCACCCCCCCATCGCCGAGAGAAGAGACCCGTGGCCAAGATGATCGGAGGAGCAGAGGAGTGGGAAGTCGAAGAAATCGTGAAAGAGCGAAAAGTCGGCCGAGGAAAACAGTACTTGGTCAAATGGAAGGGATGGCCGCACAGCGAGAACACCTGGGAACCATCACGTCACCTTACCCACGCAAAGGACGTCCTGAGAGACTGGCAGAGGAAACAATCAAATCCAGACACACGCATTCGCCTCCTGCCAACGCTCGAAGCTGGACACTGGGACTATCTCATTCATCGCTACCAGCCCAGGGACGAGCGCCTTCCATACCCCCAACGACAGCTCTTCGACCCTTACGAGAACGTCTTCTTACCCATTGGCCTGGTCGATGAGGACATCGACCCTAGAGAGGGGGTAATGTCATAGTTCGGCCACTTTTTCATCTTATCATCAATGATCTTATCTTATCTTGGCACAACTTACCTTATCACGGATCACGGCATCAGACGGTCCGGACTAGGGGTTTCAGGGATTATCTTCATCGATTCGAGGCTGCGCGACATATGCTCCAGAAGGTTCTACTACGACCCATGACCAGCGTTCCATGCGGTACATAGCCCTATGACTCATTAGTTGTAGATATGACTCAGACTGGATTTGGGTATAAATACTGTAGCTACTTGGTTGTATTCTCCAGTCTTCGAATTCACTTCTCTTTTCGACTTTGTTTTTGGGTTGATTGTCACAAGAAGCACAGGTCCCTCAGGCAATCAGGCCATCCCCTTGTGGTCTGAGGACATCTGCCTCAGCAATGTGGCATGAGAGATTTGGTTGCTATAACTCATTGGGGCATGGTGCTGACCCCGGCATGGATCATGAGGCAAAGAAGAATGGTTTGGTAATGAACAAAGCTCAAGGTAGGACATTGAGAGTGGAAGAGTTGGTCCATTTGTTTGCTTTTTGGCAATGAGCACCTTGGCTTTTATATCACTCTCCACAAAGCTTGAGCTGGTGTTGTGTCTTGTCGAGGATGTGCAGGGAATGCGTAGATCTACTGTATTCTCAGCACCACGGACCAGATGAGGTCAACCATTCTCCAATGCTCCAAACAAAACGACGAGGGATCTATGCTCAATGCAAGTCAGGGATTTCCTGCCCAGTTCATTGCTTGCTCTGCAGGATGGAGTCGGGTTGAAGAAGGCCTGTGCAAAGGTCGATCAGACTAATGGACAGCTGCAACTTCCAAACGGCTTTGAAATTTGAAGAGCACGAAGTTGAGCAGATTTTTGTAGAGTTTGGGGAGGACTCTGAGCATCAATCATGGAATGATTCATGTTCAAGTTCAATGACAAGTTGTGAGGAGCACGTGAGGAGAAAATGACAAACGCGTCTCGTCACAACGTGACGAGACGTTCTTCCTCGTTCTCACATACCCTCATCATGAGCCTCTCCGATCTCTCCAAGGGCAGCTGCGACGCGCTCCAGAACGCCGCCCAAGGGGATGCCTCCGTTTTTGATACGGTTCACACCCTCCAGGTCCTCTCCGTCCGCGTCGTCAATCAGAACAGCACCGGGGCGACTGTCCCGCGATTCCGAATCATCGTGTCGGACGGCGAACATTTCGTGCAGGCCATGCTTGCTACCCAGCTGAATACGCTCGTAAACGAGGACGGCAACGGGCCCGTCAAGATCAAGAAAAACACAATTGTGAACGTGACGAAGATGACCTGCAATATCGTGCAAGGTAAACGGTATGTTTTCCGCCCCGTGCAATGCGTGTTTGGATACTCAGCTGTTTTGATAGCTTGCTGATTATATTAGGGCTGGAATTTTTTGCGAATGCCACGGAGAAACTTGGCAACCCCGTTGCTTTTGCGGGCACGGAACCGGCTGCAGCAGGTGGAGACACGCCTTCGAACGACCACCTTCAGAAGCAGCAACAGCAGCAGCAGCCATCGAAACCTCCAGTCCAGCAGTCCCGACCTGCGCAATCCAGAGCAGCTCCGCAACAGGGCTCGTCGTCGTCCCATTCATCGGCCTCCATCTTCCCCATCGAAGGCCTCAGCCCGTACCAGAACAACTGGACGATTAAAGCCCGTGTCGTGCAGAAGAGCGACCTGAAGCACTACACGAACGCCAAGGGAGAAGGAAAGCTGTTCAACGTCACGCTCATGGACGAGACGGGCGAGATCCGTGGCACCGGCTTCAACGCGGTTGCGGACGACTTGTTCGACCGGTTCGAGCTTAACAAGGTGTACTTTATCAGCAAGGCGCGCGTCAATATCGCAAAGAAGCAGTTTTCGCATCTGACGAACGAGTACGAGCTGGGGTTCGACAGGAACACGCAGGTGGAGGAGGTGAGCGGCGCTTGGGCGCACCCATGCTGCTGCTGACTGTTGATCTCAGTGCACGGATACTGTTGGCCTGCCGGTTGTTCAGTACCACTTCGTTCCCCTGAACGGGCTGGACTCCCAGCCGAAGGATTCGATGTGTGGTACGCTCGCCAGTCGTGTTTGCGATAATCGACACTTATCTCTGCGGTAGACGTTCTCGCAATCGCCAAAGAAACCGGTGGTGTCGAAAGCATCAAGTCCAAAGCAACTGGCAAAGACGTGCGGTTTTTACATATCCTGCCATTGAATGCTCATATTATTCCAGGTCATCAAACGCGATGTGACACTGGTTGACAGCACTGGATTCTCTGTCCGGATGACGCTCTGGGGCAAGCAAGCTGAGCAGTTTGAGGGGTCTGATCAAGTTATCGCGTTCAAGAGCGTCAAAGTCGGAGATTACAACGGTATGGTTGGTAGCTGACCGCATTGCAAGTTCATCGAGCCCGTTCCAGGCCGTTCTCTCTCATTCTTCAGCTCGAGCTCGATGCAAGTCAACCCCGATACACCGGAGGCTCACGCACTGCGCGGCTGGTACGATAACGAGGGCGCGAGCCAGACCTTCGCCGCCCAGCCATCGACAGGAGAGTTTACGAGCTTCGGGGGCTTCAGTCGCGACAAGATTCAGCCTCTTGCTGAAATCAAGACTTTGGAGCTCGGTCGAAACGAAGAGAAGCCGGACTACTTCTCGACGCGAGCGACCGTGGTGTTCATGAAGAACGACAACATGTGGTACCCCGCCTGCCAGACGGAAAACTGCAACAAGAAGGTCAGCGACGAATCCGGCAACGGCTGGTTCTGCGAAAAGTGCCAGAAGACCTGGCCTGAGCCGAACTACCGGTGAGAGAATCTCATGTACTCCATCGCCTTTGTCTCTGACGGGTTTTGGAGATACATCATGTCGGTTGCAAGCGCAGACTGGTCTGACCAGGCCTGGCTGCAGGGTTTCAACGACGTCGGCGAGCTTGTGCTGGGCAAAACGGCGAATGAGCTGCAGGAGATGAAGGTGCGCTGATCGATCTGCTCTCTCCGTCTCGTATTCCCCGGGACTGACACGACACCAGCAAAACAGCGAAACCGAATTCGGCGCGTTCATGCAGGCGGCGTCGTGCCAGACATTCAACTTCTACTGCCGCGCCAAGACCGACTCGTACAACGGCCAGCCGCGGATCCGCTACGGCATCTCGAAGATCCTGCCGCTGAACTACAAGGAGGAGGCTACGGTGTTGCGTGACTTGCTGCAGTCGCCTTGGGGCCGCAACGCACGGCTCAGGTCCTCGCATTGAATATGACAGGAATACTCGGACTTTGTACTTATCATCACACCTGCTCTTCCTCTTTCAATGATCTACAGACCTTGCTCGATGATGATCCCCAAGTCTATGTGAGCACACAGCGTTTCTATTTCGTCAAAAGACACGGTAGGATGTTGGTTGGTTCTTTCTCTTCTCTCCTCCGACACTGTGTGGAGGTGTGCCTTGCCTTACACCTATCATCTGGCACGTGACCGCGTCAGAGCGCGGCTATTGCAATGCCAATTAAGCTGGATTTGAATTGAGCACTTTGGACCGCGAATGGTATACACTGGTTACAATTTCCCTACTTTGCTGCAGCTCTGGAACCCCCAACTTCCGACACTCAAGTTGCTAAGATGGACACGACCGATAACTATCATTTCGAGCCGATCATACCGCCTGCCCCCAACCGGCGTGATCTGGAAGCGGCGGTGGAGCCGCCAACGCCGCGCGGTGTTCCAGAAGACTGGGGTTCACGCCGAGATGCGGCACGGCCGTATGCGTCCCTGCGAGCTTATCCAGCACTGGGTGCTGCGCGCCTGTCATAGACAGCCTCGGGAGATGATCCCGAGGCAGAGCTCGAATAGCCGATAACACAGGGTGGCTGCCCTCGAGGCGAGTGTCCGGGCTTGGCTGCACCGTGGGTGCTTCGCTCGGGGCTAGCGTTGTGGTGGTAGTACCTCCTCCGCCCTCTGTCCGAGTCGCCAACCCGTGCGTGTGTGTCCTCTCCGTGCTCGCAGCGGTGCTCGAGACGTCCTCAGCCATGTCTAAATCGTCTTCCGCTCGGGATGTGGGGGGAGTGGCCACAGGCAGCGGAGGAGGGTACGGCAGGGAGCTCATTTGATAGTGAATCAGGTAGGGGATCAGGTGCGGGATGGAAGTGGAGCGCGCTTCGAGTCTCATATATAAAAGCCCAGCGGGAATTAAACGCGGTTGGAGTCTTAGCGTGCTGTATTAATCACACCGGGGGATCACACATAACACGGCCCATAAAGAATAAATTATATTCTATATATCGTGACCCCAAAAAGAAGCTGACCTGATATGTCACATATCAGCGCAAAAACGACCTGATACCACAGATATCGGGTGCCGGGTATGATCCGGGTGCCCAATATGTCACATATCAGATCCCTTCATTTTTTATACCTCAATATATAGAATATAATTGATTCTTTATGGGCCGTGATATTCGCAATCCCTCGGTGTGAATAGGTCATTGTGTGGTCATTTCATTCGAGTCCATTACAATCAGTAATCCTTGGGCCTATCCTTTTGTGTGTGATCTAATCTAATCTTCTCATCGGATCAGCGATCGTTGACAGCATATTTTAGATCGCGGGAGCAACCTCAGCAGTCTCATCGACGCTCTTGCGGTAGCTGAAGCCGAGGTCAGTATCATCCGAATCACTGAAAAAGGGGGAAACCGACTCGTGTCCAAAGGCCTTCATGCCTTCCTTGCGTGCCTTCTTCAGCACGCGCTCGAACGCGTCCAGACCTAAAACACCGATTCAGCCCAAAACACCCACGCGTGGGAACCAGCGCACCCATGTCAAGGTCCTTCAACGGCGGCCCGAACGAGATCCGCACGAAGTGGTGGCACGGGGAGTTGAACAGGTTCCGGCGGTGGCTGGGGTTGATATCGAAGAAGATGCCCGGGATCACGATCGTCTTCTCCTTGAGCAGCTCCTCGAAGAAGGTCAGGCCGTTGTTCAGCGGCGCGGGCAGGTTCTCGAGGTTGAGCCAGATGTAGAACGTGCTCTTGGGTGGGATGTCCACGTCGAGCTTCATGTCGTGCAGGCGCTTCAGCACGTGGTCGCGCTTCGCCTTGAAGTGCCGCTGCAGCGCCTCCTTCTCCAGACGCACGCGGGCGGGCTCCAGCAGAGGAATCGCGGCAAGCTGCATTGGGTGGTTGGCGCCCCCGTCCAGGAAGGATCCGGACTGGGACAACGCGGTCACGAGGTTCTTGGGTCCGATCACCCAGCAGATGCGCCATCCCGGCAGACGCCAGTTCTGTTCAGAGAAGTTCAGCTTCAACAGGGATCGAATCCGTTACCAAGTAAGTGACTGACCTTGGTCAGACCATCAATGATGACAACAGAGTCCTGCAAAAATAAACATCAAGCACTGAGAGTGATGCCCAACGAGAAAGTTCTTACACTGTTCACATCCTCGACGTACTCGGCTGAGGACACCGAGTGACCGAAATCTTTGTCGTGCTCGGGGTAGATGTACCAGGAGTAGAACTGTCATGGGATGATTCAGTCAGAGTCGCTATCAAATCACCCGATGGACGAACTTCATCAAGAATGACGGTAGTCCCCTCCCGGCCGATGGCAACGAGCTCCTTGAGATCTTTCCCCCTGTTTCGATTGCTTCAGCGACCCGCGCCGCAAGACGGCGAAAACGACGCACTTGATGACCTGGCCCGTGGGGTTCCGCGGATTCGACGCGAGGATGACAGCCAGACCTTGAGTTTGAATGTCCCTCTGAAACACATCTGAGGGGATGTTCGCCCGAATAAGCATCAGAAACCATCTACCTTGGTTTGGGCAATGTCCAGGCGATATTTGGTCTGCGGCGGTCAGAACCCTGAAACTTACGATCATGCTGTGCAGATTACCTTGGGATCCAAGCTGCAAACACACCGTTAGACAAAGAAAACCCACAAATGAAGCTACTCACGCAGTGGGAACCGGCACGAGCCGTCTGAAGGACGACAGCACCTGATCGTACGCTGTGTAATCGGGGACCTGATACGACTGGACACACACACGCAGCACATCAGTGGGGGTGCCTAGCGACCGGATGGTGGCGCGCACCGTGTAGACGTCACCGATGACGGCAGCGACACGCGACAGCCCCGCGCGGCCCCCAGGGACGATGCACACGTTCTCGTAGGTGTACTGGCTCGCCTTGCCTTGGCGGTACGTGTGGTTGTACAGATCCGCGACCGCGGTGCGCAGCTCTGCGCACACGGAGTCAGCGCGGCGCAAGAGAGGAGCAGGAGGAGTTGGGCACACACCTTTCACGCCGGTCGTCGGCGCGTACTCGAGCGAGTCGGTCGGCAGCGGGATGGACGTCAGGCGCGGGGGCGCGTTCGGGATCTCGCCGACCTCGGGCGCACCCTGGCCCAGGTTCGCCCACTCGTGGGACGCCGCGTAGCTGAACCCGTTCGCCATCGCGCGATCGGAGCAGTAGATCACACCGGTGCTGCCTGCAACCCCCGCCACGCATCAGCATCACGCTGCGAAACACGTCAGGGAGCACTGACCGGGGTGCTCGATTCCGGGCACGGTCTCCTCGTCCTGATTCACACGCACGGTAAAGTGGTAAGCAGCAGCCTCACGGAGACGAGAGCAGCGGGGGACAACGCACGGGGTTGATCGTCTGCGGGAACGTGCCCTTGACTTTGTGGCCTGCGGTCTGCCGGAAGATCTGATAGCGCGGTACGCGCACGCCGTCAGAAGACCGCGAAGACCGTCGCACCCCGGACGCAGCCTACCTGATGCGCCTCCGAGTCGGTCTCGTTCTTGTAGTGCCTGACCGCGTCCATGACCTGGTGGGCGAGGTTAGTGAGGGAACGGGAGGGCTTCGGGCGCGTGAGGTGGAATTTCGTCATGGGCTCTTCGTGGTAGTGGGGGGGAGAGGGTAGGATGGGAACTTGGCGCTCACAAAGTCTTTAAACCTCATCATGGGCGTGCTGGACCGGGACGGCGTGGCCGGACGTGAGGGCTGCCTGCTGGGAGGTTGGGACATGATGGTGTCTTGCGGGGTAAACGGAGAGTGTGTTGAACAGGAGAAGGTTTAGCAGGAAGATTGGGGCTGTTCATGATGGTGAGCCACCTTGAGGACAGCTCTATTTTTGGAAAGCGATCGATCGGAGTTCATTATCGATAACGGAAGGCCGCGTCAATCACAATAATTTGATAAGATTAGATGTAGATTTGAGTCATTCACACGCTGATCTTAGATTCAGCGTTGGCAATTCCGTCTGCCCCCCGTTTCGTCAATCCCTCGCCTCGAATATTAGTTACACAGATCAATAGAATTGCACCAAAAGCACGTGCATTGGATACTCAGTGTCAAACCGCAGTTCCCCATATTCTCGTTCTCATGTCCGCCTCCGCAAGACCTCGCAGCCCACCCAAGATCACCGCCAGTTCCTTTGTCGCGTGACCCGTCGACCGCGCCCTCAAACGCGCCTCAAACTGGCTCATGACGTCTTCGTCATCGAGGAACACAAGAAACGCGTCTAGGTGCCGATGTGTGAACGACACTAAACAGTTCTCCGCCTTGTGCGATGCCGTGAAGAAAATCAACGCGTCGACCAAGGCCATGCGATGCCGAGCATGTGCACCCGTCTCGTCCCCGGGACTCAAATTCTCAGCGAACAGGCGCATGACTAGCGACGAGTCGTGCGGGATCAGATGCAAGGCGGACGCGTTGATGAAGCCGGCAAGCGCGGCTAGCGTCGCCTCGTTCAGCCGAATTCGAAGATGCGTGGTGAGCAGCCGATGCCGCTCGGCGGAGCTGAGTCGGTGCAGGTTCAGGCCTTGGACTTGCGGTGCGGCAGTGCCGTCTGGCCACAGCGAAAGGTCCCAACTCCGGTCGTATAGCGCTTGAACGACGTCTAGAGAATGAGGGTCCTTACACGCATCCAGCTCGGATCGGAGTCGTCTGAGGTGATTGATCGCAATGCTGACCGAGGCGCACGTCGCCATCCCACTTCGGTCGTTGAGTGAGTCCAACCGCGCGATCGACTGCGAATCACCCAACAACACAGTCGGTGGTCTCGAAGACAGGATCCACGCCGCGAGCGCCCATAGTCCCGTGAGGTTCCGCTCGCTCGCTTTATGGAAATGGGGATTCTCATTAATATACCTTGTCACGAGGTCCATCAAAGTCTCAAGTATGGAACCACCTAGTGTCGAGAAGCCCAGAACGGTCTCGATCACAGGCGCGCGCTCTGATGCATTATGTCGGCCAATGAATGACAACAAGGCATCCACCACAGCGATGGACGGAGTGGTCAGCGGTGATGTCGCTTCGTGACTCGAATACAGGCTCAGATAGGCGTGGACGAGGAATTGGATGGCTGGAATCAACAACGCTCGCTCCGCCTCCGAGAATTTCCAGTTTTCGTCCTTCCAAGTCACAAGCGTTTTTGCGACCATCTCCTGGTGCTGGGCCGAGAATGGGGGCCGGCAGCTCTGCCAGAGCATCGCGAAACTGGATTCAAACTTGTATGGAAGCGCAGGTTGGTCGAGAGACCGGAGGAGGTAGGTGCAGACGACGTTGAGCTTAGCATCGGCCAGCTCCGCTCGCGCAGTCTGCAGCAGATCCGAGACCGGGACTGTACCGTCCAGGGGAGCTGCGACGACAGAGGGGAGGACAAGAGGGTATCCTGGCCGGCCGAAAGCACGCCACTTGGACTGTACAAGCCCTTTGATGTTCCCTTTTTGCCCTTGCCTAGTATATGCGCGTTGTAAATCGTCCAACGAGTGTTCTATCTCGCACGCGCAGCTCCAATACAGCAGTGCCGACATCGTGGACCAATACGGCTCCAGCGCCGCGCCGGGGTGATTCGTATAGAGATAACTCCAGCCCAAGCTACTTGAGATCAGCACAGGCGGCGCCTGCCCCATGCCATGCTCGGGCTCGAACCGAGCCCAAGCAAAGAACGGGAGCGAGGGCTGGAGAGAATTTGTGGCACCGCCAGCGTCAATTCGGATGTGCGCTAGCGCGACGACGGCCTTCACGGCGGCGATGCATCGCTGTGTCTCGTTCCCCGCCACAGCCGACCGCAGGAACGACAGCAGCCGACGGACGAGCCCGGCTTCCGTGTCCTGTGTGACCGAAACGATCAAGGGACTACGGACGTCTCCTGCGGTGACAAAAAGAGCCTCGGGAAGCGCCTCGATGAACGGCGCCAACTCGTTGTCGTCGACTCGCGATTTGAGAGTCCACGTCAGAGCATGGAGGTCCCGCTTGAACCTCGAGCTGATAGCTACAGTCGCGTCGACAACCATCCGTTCCGTCATGGTTTGCGTGGAAGCCACCGCATTCGGATGGAAGAGTTCCATGATGTGTCTCCCGAGGAAGGCGAGGTTCCAGCAGGCATTGGTGAGAGGCGTGCGATACGGACAGTCAGAGGCCAGCAGAGGCAGCACCGTTACTATTGCGTAGACAAGCATAATGAGCCCCAGGATGCCTACACATAGGTACATCACGGCCGTGTTGACCGGGATCAGGAAGAGCACAAGGCCAGCGAGAAACAGGATAAGCGAGAGGTGCAGGAGCAGCGGAACGACCTCGACGATGTCGTGCATCCGGAACCGCTTCAGTCCAAAATACAGAAACGAGTACACCCGCGCGCGGATCGGCGGCGACGGCCGCATGTCCACCCTCTGCACGAAGTTCCGGGCCCACTGCTCGACGAGCGTCGCGAGCAGTGCGCACCCGAGACTGAGCCCCAGACTCATGAACCACAGCATGTTGCAAGCGAGCGAGGACCGGGCGGGTGTGAACGCGCTCACCGTTGCCGAAGAGATCGTGGTGCCGGCGGTCGTCGCGTTCAACGCGCCACCACCCGCCATCTGCGCGGATATCTGCAGAAGCAGTTCGACCGTCATCGCCGCGTTGTCCGGCGAGAGATTCTGGTAGCTTTGGGTGATGAAGGCTGTGAGCACGGCGGAGAACAGACCGGCCTACGATGCATGCACATCAGCGGCGGCGGTGAAGTTGCCATTTCGACGCGTGACCCACGAAGATCAACATGCCCTCCATATCGCTCCGCCATCCATCGACCAGTGTTTTGTCGTATTTTTCCGCCTCGGAGATGTAGATGGAGAACAGCTTGGAAAAACGCGTATCTGCTTCGGTGTTGAGTCGCGTTACAAGGCTCGTGAATGGAAATGAGTGCACCCTCTGCGTCGTTGCCCATGTTCGTGAAAGACAACGATACAGCGATGTATACTCTTGATCCACGTCCGCCACGGCCGTGGGAGTGGAAAGGATACTGATCCGAGGACGCCACTGCTGCTGAAGTGTGTGTGAAAGGATTGGGGCTGGAGAGAGTGCACACAACATATACCGCAGAGAATCCCGTCTCCTCAAAAACGAAATAAGCTGCGTTCTCAGCGTCGTGGTCTAGTCCTATGCTGTCTCCTGGACATGCAACTATTTTCTATCTGAGGAAGCAATATTGCATCTCTTTGTCCTGAAAAGGAATGACCTGTGATTAGGACTCATTAGACTCGTAAACCCGGTGTCGATGCTAGATTGCCGGCGGTTCTGTTTCCAATTACAATGGAGACAAGGGAGTCCACAGACTTTCCGCAGAACTCATCGAAGATCCAGAGAACCACAATCAATTATCACAGTCAGAGTCGAGACACAACTATTTATTCGACCTGCATCTGAGCGGGCTTGTCTAAAACGTCGCAGTACAAAGAGTCTTGCCTTTTTCGTTATGATCTGAAGCGGTACTTATCAATTCACGACCTCAAGAGACGGTCCATGTCCGTTTGGTAGATGTTTCAGATGCGCGAAGCGAGCCATACACGCGACGATTAAACCTGGCGGGGGACGCGTTCTTCGGATTCCTGGTCAACTAGTACACCATTGGGACCAGGCACGGCAACTTGGCAGGGACCTGCAGAGTCAGGCCCAGTCAGACGCTTCGACTTCGACGAGGCCGCAGTGCCTTAGGCTTTCGGGAGCAGCCTTCGAACGGGCACGTGGTTTGACGATCGACAGCTTAAGCGATGCGGGCATCAATATTCAGTCAGGAAGTTCTTGCCTGCTTGCTCCCCTTCGTACCGGCGCCGCTGACGATTTGGAACCCACCCGCGCAAGCGTCATTCGGGGTCACATCGGCGACTCGATTTGCTAAATAATCCCTACGCTCTCTATCGCACCCTCCAGTTGCCCAGCCATCATCCTCTTCTAATCGGCGACAACCATGTCCTTCTTCAACTCGATTGGGTCTGTGGCTATCTCCCTCGCGCTCCCGCGGAGAAACCCGTGCGCTAACTCCGTGCACAGACGGTCGATGACCCGCGCCCCGCGCAATGCGAAGCGTTCGCCGACACCAACGTCCGCGACGTTCCCGCCCGAGTCTCCGGCTGTCAAGTCCCCGACGTCGCCTGTGGTCCCAGCGCAAAAGCCGTTGTACCTGTGCAGCCCCTTCGTCGAGGCTGCGCTGGTCAAAGGCAACTTCAAGACCATCGTGATGATGCCCAAGTATGTGGACATTATGGAGTGGGTCGCCGTCAATAGGTGCGTGTCTCTTTCTGCACGTTTTCTGCCGCGGGTGCAGTGTGCTGACTGCATCCTAGTGGGTAAACTGCTTCCATCTGTCCCTGAGCTCACTGCTGCCGGCCAGTCTTCGATTTTTACACCAATCTCAATGAATTCTACGGCGTGCTGACCGAGTTCTGCACGCAACAGAACTGCCCAACGATGGCAGCAGGCCACACGTACGTCCCATTGCGACGCGAAGCACCCTCCCTGTGCAGCAGCTGACGTCCGTTGTCACCAGACTAAACTATACCTGGATTAACCAGGATCGCAAACATGTGCACCTGCCGGCGCCAACGTACATCGACTACGTGATGACGTGGGTGCAGAACATGCTGGATGACCAGAGCGTGTTTCCGACCAAGTCCGGTGCGCCATGGCGATTTTTGCCGCCGAGACGTAGGGCTGAGTCCTGACTGACCGCCCACCCTCCCAGGTCTCGAATTCCCACCGTCCTTCCCATCGACGGTCAAGCACATCTACCGGCAGCTGCTCCGGGTGTTCGCCCACATATATCATGCGCACTACGCCCAGATCCTGCATCTGCGCTCGGAGCCGCACTTCAATTCCCTTTTTGCGCACTTCCTTGCCTTTGGGTCTGAATTCGAGCTATTGGAGATGAAGGATCTGCGAGGGTCGGGTTCTTCCCCGGTTGGAGTGGGGGCGCTCTGGGAGCGGTGGAGGGACATGGGCATCCTCGCAGGCTCGAACAAGGGGTGAATCATTGATACCCCTACCTACTGACACACACCCGTTGGCGGTGTTACCCTCGCTCTCGTTCACAATCCGTACTATCTGGCGTCCGAGCGGGCTTTACGATGTCATGTAAACAAGTTATAATATCTGCACAATAGATTGTTAATACAAACAAAACAAAGCAGTGACAGACAGTCAGAGCGCAGGGCTGAATGCAGCATAGGCAGCCTTAAAGGCTTGGGCGTCGGCTTTGTCCTCGTCGTCGGAAAGAGAGCAGGCCTTCCAATCCATCCGTTCTGGCATATTGAGGAGGGAAGCTAATGTTTGTCTGTAAAAATGGATGTCAGCGGACCCTAGTCATCCAATAAAACCGGGGATACCGACCTCCCAAATTGAATCCCGAAAGGCACATGATCTTTGATGAGATGAACGAGCTTCTGGCCGTTGGGCAGATCAACGCGGAAATAGCTTCCTCTACCGCCAGCACATGTTTGCAAGGCCTCGTCCGGATCGGCTTCGAAATCAATGCCGAGCATCTGGCCCTCGGACCGGAACACCTGCTCCACTTTGTCCTGCAGCGCAAGCGGTACCGGGACCGCTTGCACGTGCGCGTGCCCGCCTTTGGCGCTCAGCTTGCCTACTTCAAATGTAACCATGGCGGCTTTGTGCTTGGCGAACATCTCCCGCAACGCCGTTTTATGTCTGGTGCATTGTCAGATGAGTCCTGCGGCTAGGAGGGAGCCATGTGCGCACCTCTCTGTTTCCTCGATGATCGGCCCAGCAAGGTCACCAGGGATGGTCGAATAGGTAGGGAAATGCGCGATAGGGATGATGAGCACGTGTCCGCCCCCAGGAACCGATGGTCCGTCGGTCGGTGGATGGGTGGGCACGATCTGACCTTTGGCCAATGTCACGTAGCATTCGCTTCCAATGGCCACAATCAGGTGTTTTCTGGCGATGGGTTAAGCACATTGGTCACAAGAAAAGACTCCAACGCACGCCAGATTGGGATTAGACAAACAGAACCAGCATTCATCCGCTGTAAATAGGAATGAGATTCCGAAACGAAACGACTTTGGCGCTAAGTACGAACCCGTGATCTCTTTGGGTGGACCCCTTTTGTTGCTTCTTCGCTCAGACGGTCTTCCACTCGAAGACGGGCAATCGTCCAGATAATGCCCGTCACTACCGCAAGCTCGACAGATGTATCCTTCTCTCGGCTTCCTGCCACCGGTGTCTCCAAGGGCAAATCGGGTGGGGCAATCCCGAACGAGATGCCCGGACTGTGCAGAACGTGAGGTCTTCCCTGAATCACTGCGGCGGATTTCAACGTACAACATTGCAGATACGGCAAACATAGCCTTCTGGAGGCTTGACGCGTTCAGGGCAGTCGTCGATCAAATGCTTCAATCATCGTCAACACATTTCGCGGAGCAAAGAACTTGTTCTCGGACCTCACTCGACTCGCACCGATGGCATTTGTATCCAGGCGGCGGCTTGCCTGGCTCTCCGACTCGGGTCCGCTTCTGAGGTTGGCGGACATTCCCAAATATGAAGTTCTCCGCTTCGCTCGCTTGATCAAAGGTACGTTTCATCGGCCGGGAGTTCATCTCCAAGAATGGATTTTTGGTCGCATTGGCTGGACGCTGTGCAGAGACGGCAGCGGGTCCGTCGGGGGCGATGGAAAAGGCATAGAACCACTGGATAATGGAGATTACATTTCGAGCCACCCAGAAGTATAGAGAGGAGTACCCTTTGCTTCTTTCCAGGAGGCTGCTCGCCACCGAATGCACCGAGGCTGACAAAGCGCGATACCCTTCCTTGCTCATCATCCCAAAGATAGGGCTCACGCTCCCAGAACAGAGGGGGCTTGCCGCCACTCGCCGCAAAATGGTACCGGGGCTTGGTCTTGCGAACAAGACCGTCAAGGGGCGGTGCTCCGATTTGCGCAAGCTCGGGGTTTGGGAGAGGTGCCGAGGAAAGATGTGTGACGGCGGCGGGCCAAGCATTACTGATGAGAATATCGACCAGTTGCGAGGCCGTCGCGGTTGATTGAATACCTGCAAGTGAGCCATAGTTCTGTTTGGAGGTAGAGTTCGTCAGTGTGTTGGAGAGGAGGCGTTCTACTGTGTGCGATGAGAAGAACGGCGAGGAGAAACCCTACACTGAAGCGTCAATCAATCCCATGTTAGGATATGAAGACACCTACTGGTGCAGCTTCAGCAGATGAATACATTTCGGCGTCATAGCGGCCACCCAGGCACGCTATTCGCAGTCCATTGGCAGTTGTGATCGTGCCCGACTTGCCTAAACACCGCGGTCTCAGCATTTCACTTACGGCTCGCAGAGATAACACACTCAACAAAAAGACATTCTTGCAAAGTTCACCTCCGTTCTTGCTGAACTTTTGAATCACAGCGTCCGAAAGAGGATTGTCTCCTTGCATGATGTAACATTCAATTGGCGCTGCAACAGGCGTCGAACACGGATGAACATATCAGGATGTATGACGGACCCTCCAATTCGCCATCCAGAAGTTGCCGAGTCTCCTCCACCGCGCTGGCATTGTCCAAAGCACCGAAAAAGTCGCCGATACATAGCACAAGATCGAATTTGCCGTGTTTTGCGTCGATAGACTTGACTTTGGCAAACAGGTCGCGCATAGAGCCAACGGCCGAGCCCACAGTCAGTCTGCGCGGTATGTCAAGCTGCTCCGGAGCACAGAGGCGCGTGCTGCCGCTCACATTTTGACGGACATTGGCGCCAGGTTCCGAGACGCGCAGTTTGGCGGTGTTGTTCTTGTCGGAGTTTCAAGTTGGCAACAGTTGCAAGCCACTTTGGAGTAGTCGTCCCCGTGCAACTTGGGAGCCCAACGAGCAACACCGACGACGATCTCCCGCCGTGTTAATTTGTGCTCGTCGGGTGCTGGACCGCCTCTTTCATTCACGTCTTTGAACGAACGGTTGTGGGATTGATCACCCTCGCTCGCGTGTTACGAGACCCGCGACCATGTCTCTGCTGTCCGACAGACAGAGGGAGGACCTGTGCGTATATCCCATGTCGCTTTTAACGCCCAATAATGGGTCCTGTCCTCAGTCACAAGTCCATGCTGGATTATCTCTACGCCAACAACTACACCTCCGCGTATAATGCTTTGAAACAGGACGCTGAGACGGAGTACACACCCGATCCTAAGGCTAAGTATACTGGGCTGCTGGAGAAGAAGTGGACGAGTGTCATTCGATTGCAGAAGAAGGTCCGTCTATCTCATGATACCACGGACCAAAACTACAGCTGGTATGTAGATAATGGATCTCGAGAACCGCAATTCCGCCCTCCAGGAGGAACTGTCTCAAGCTCCTTCCAAACGAGCCGCCTCTCAATCCGACTGGGTGCCAAGGGCGCCTGCAGCCCATGTTCTCACTGGTCATCGCGCGCCCATCACCCGCGTAGCTTTCCATCCGCAATACTCAATTCTAGCCTCCGCTAGCGAGGATTCGACAGTGAAGATATGGGATTGGGAAACGGGCGAGTTTGAGCGCACGCTCAAGGGGCACACGAAATCTGTTATGGATGTGGATTTCGATCACAAGGGCCAGTTGCTAGGTATGTTTGTGCCGGATCTCTTGCCGCTCGGATTCTCGCTGATTGGCTCAGTGACATGCTCGACGGATCTTTTTATCAAGATCTGGGATACTCAGAACGAATGGAAGAACACAAAGACCTTCCCAGGGCACGAACACTCTGTATCCTCAGTGCGATTCCTCCCCGGAGATCAGTTTATTGTCAGCGCCAGCCGTGATCGAACCATAAGGGTGTTTGATGTTGCTTCGACGTTCGCCGCCCGCTCTGTTGATTGCTCATAGTGAACTGACGGCACACTCAGGCATCTAGTCAGAACAATAACAGGACATTCAGATTGGGTGCGATGTGTAATGCCTTCTGATGACGGCAAACTATTGGCAACTGCCTCCAACGATCATGTGGGTAGACTTATTCTTTTTTCTTGTTCTTTAATTCATCTTGATCTCAGACCGCCCGAATCTGGGACCCACAAACAGGAGAGTCGAAGATGGAGCTGCGAGGTCACGAGAACGCCGTCGAGGTCGTCGCATTTGCGCCTGTAGCTGCATATTCAGCCATTCGAGAACTGGCTGGAATACCTGTAAGTCCTCGTCGTACCACCTGGTCGCATGTTTGCTGACCTCCGTGCCAGAATACAGACCGTTCCAAGCGCCCAGGCGCTTATGTTGCCACTGGAGCTCGAGACAAGACTATCAAGCTGTGGGACGCATCCAGTGGTCAGATTTTGAAGAACCTCCCTGGTCACGACAATTGGGTCCGTGCGTTAGCGTTCCACCCATCGGGGAAATATTTGTTGTCAGCCTCCGACGACAAGACAATCCGAGTATGGGAATTACAGACCGGACGGTGTATGAAGACCGTCGAAGCGCATGGACACTTTGTGCAGACTCTGGCATGGGGTCGCCAAGTTGTTGGTGGTGCCGCTAAAAGTGATGCCATCAAGGTCAATGGAGAAGCCAATGGCAAGACTGAGGAGGAGAAGTTGGTGAATGTCGTCGCGACAGGAAGCGTCGACCAAACGATCAAGATCTGGCTTCCTTGAGAGTTTGACTTTGGGTCTACATATTTGATGCCGTCGCAGCTCGTTTTTATGTGGAAAGGCGTGTTGTGGATCTACTTTGCCTCTTGGCAAGTTGACTCGATTTTTGTTTCCCGCGTTTGTTTGCACCGTGAGTGTTCGCATTGCCTTTGACTTTTGTGATGGTGTCCCCCGCTCACACGGTCGTTTTTAGGCAACTAACATGCGCCGACCGACCGACGTCGGATCTATCATCGCTCGTTCAAGTCTACACGTATCATATTATTCTCCCGGCGACATCTTATACCAAGGCACACTTAGCCACATCTCACTTTCGTTGCACTACGTCACTCTCGCCGCTCTACCTAGTTTGCGCATAATCATTCTCAATGTTTTCTCAGAGAACCCACCCAACCCTGTACGTGTAAAGAATAGAGGTTATATATTATTCTGGGCCCGCTGCAATGGAATTGACTAGCTTGAGGCGGCTTGCATCGCGCGCAGGGTCTGGGAAACCAGTTCACACACGGTCTCTGTGCCATTTGGGATTGATCCTCAGAGCGGCGAACAATTCGATTGGGCGCAAACGCAGTATTCCGGTGGGAGAGCGCCCGGTCTCTCGATGTTGGGGGAAGGGGAGGGTGGATACCGGATTCCAGTCCACCAAAGATTGTGGAGGATCATGTGAGTCAATCACGCTGGCACGTGTGTGTGACTGGTGGTGTTTTGACCGAGACAGACTGAGACTCGACTGCTGAGCCGCCCGTATGTAGTGAGTTTGAGGGAGAAGTAGGAACCGCATATTCGCCGGACTCAACAGAAGGCTAACTCTATCAGGGTGACCTCCTGAAGCATCTCTACCCGAACCTCACAGCCATCTCTCCTGCGATCGACTTGACTTGACTTCCGTTGGCTGATGTTGCCGAGCGCCGAGTCTACAATGCAATGTCTCGAGCGAGACCCTCGACAAGGTTCTCGATCTCGACCACTAGCTTCGAGATTCTTGAGACAATCGATGCTCTTCGTTCTCTGTTTCATCGGCATCTTCTATGCTGACCAGTGGTTCCCTGGCTGCGACACGATGATGTTTGCAGAGCCATGCATAGACAAACTGTCTGTCGAAGCCGATGGCGAGCAGGACAGGCTTCTCGCCATGAGTCTGGTTGTTCGAGATCAGGGCACGGTTTTGTCGTGCGCCCGACGTTCTTTTGACGGGGGACTTGTCGTGATCGAGACTAGCTGTGATGGTGAGTCGCCTCTGTTTCAGGGAGGCTTCAGTTTTGGGATAAGCATAGAGATGTTTTCTGGCATTTTTTGGTCTTCCTTCAGTGATGCGGATGGACCTTGTGCTTCCGTGCGATCTCAAATCCATGTTCAAGGCCCCTTCTGGCTCTGACTGGCATAGAAGGCTAGGAGCATCGAATTGGAGTCTTTTCACGAGCGTGCTGAGTATTATAAGTCAGAGCGTCTTTGACCTGACTCATGCAGAGCATCTGGCAATCAACCCGACTCACAATGCTTGAACTACAGACAGTTGTCATGCATTCCTTACACATAAAGCAAGGACATGCGCAATGATCACTGCTGATCAGTGGGTGACTTCCCGTAAGGGTTTCCGATTATAATAAAGGCTTTTTACCCTTGATGCCGAGTTGCCGAGGCGTTGATCAGGACCCCATCGAGCTCAGATCTCGCTTAAGGCCTCGAATAGACCACGAATAAACCAGGATCTATTCGAGGGGTCTCTACCCCTCGAATAGACCAAGAAAGCCTCGAATAAACCAAATGAGGAAGGTGTTTGATCACGCGTTCCCGGCTGAACATGTCTGTGTCAATACCCATAGTGGTGATGAATGCGCGATCGCTCCCATTGACGTACATGGCTTTCCAGGGTGTATTGACACATGGATTGGGAGGGATTTGGGGCCAACACATGTACAGACGGTTTGGTTTCTGCCGCTTAGCCTCCGCGTACCCAAAGCCGATCAACCCCAATGCAACCATCATCTGCTTGTTATTGTCCCGAACCATCTCCTCCTCCATCGTGCCCACAATTTGTTGCCAATATTGCGCGTCGGGATCCATCTTGGGGGGAAGGTGTGGTGTGATGCCATCGAGTACCGGGCCGTGATGCGCGTGCGTCACTGATGCGGAAACTCGGAAATCCTTACGGGTAGAGCGCTCAATAAAAAAACATAAAACAAATGTAGCCGACATCATTTGGCACTCCTCAGAAATCATTAATATAATCGGAAACCTTACGGGAAGTCACCCAGTGTTGGAGACAAATTCACACCGGGGGATCATTAAAAAAAGATGCCCCAATCAAAGATTTATATTTTAAGTATTATAGTACAAAAACTATGCTACGATAGGTCGCCCAATACTTTTAATATAATCAACCATCATCGGTAACCTGTTATATCAGCTATTGCATCCCAAAACGGGACCTACAATTGATTGCATATTAGGTCCGATCAAGACCTCGTTTTTTCTTGTCCTTTTTTGTAAGATATCAGGGCTCATTTATATTCAAGGTATGGTGGCATGATTTATTGGACTCAATCTCTCACAGAATGGGGTTTAGATCAATGGCTCAGATATCTAAGCTATTGCGGCCCGAGAACAGTCTGCTCAGATATGTCTGATATTGGTGCACATTGCCGCCGACTGATAGAAAAAAATTACCCCAATATTGGAGATATCTGGGCAGACTGTTCTCGGGCCGCAATAGCTTAGATATCTGAGCCATTGATCTAAACCCCATTCTGTGAGAGATTGAGTCCAATAAATCATGCCACCATACCTTGAATATAAATGAGCCCTGATATCTTACAAAAAAGGACAAGAAAAAACGAGGTCTTGATCGGACCTAATATGCAATCAATTGTAGGTCCCGTTTTGGGATGCAATAGCTGATATAACAGGTTACCGATGATGGTTGATTATATTAAAAGTATTGGGCGACCTATCGTAGCATAGTTTTTGTACTACAATACTTAAAATATAAATCTTTGATTGGGGCATCTTTTTTTAATGATCCCCCGGTGTGATTGAAATCTTGGGTTGAGCCGATCCGGATCAATAATATGGTATCTCGTCCATTTCGGGCCTACTTCTGTTGGTAAAATACAGCCTGGGCATATCGCGCCGACCAATTGCTTCTCACTCGACAACCTCAGAAAATCACACGCCGGTGGGGCAGGAAGCCGCACTTTGGAAAGGCACCGGGACTGGGTGCCATTCACGGTCTCATGCTGCGACGTACTCTCATCTTCTGTCTCTTGCTACTACCCTCCCTGACATGGCAGCGCTCAACTCTCGGAGAACGCGCCCTCACGCCTCTTTCGTTGGACTCGATGTCCGAGCTCGTGTCTTCTCCGGATCCGTTGAAGCAGCTCGATCCTAATGACCCCCATTCGCACCTCTCGAAGATTCTGATACCCCGTGTCCGTGAGTCGACCGCTTCACGAGCCATTCTCTCCACTCATGCCCATTCTTTCTCATCGCAGCGGATACAGCGAATAACACTCTAGTCCGGAACTACATCGTTTCGAAGTTCAAAGCGCTGAACTGGCACATCGAACTCAACAACTTCGAAGACAATACACCGTTTGGACGGAAGAATTTCACGAATATCATCGTGACGAAGGACCCCAAAGCTACGCGACGCATCGTATTGGCGGCACACTTTGACAGCAAGTACTTCCCTGAGCCAAACCATGTGCGTACACATTGCACCCTCGTGGTCGGAGATTGACAAGACATTGACTTGATTCAGTTTCTCGGTGCTACTGACTCAGCGGCCCCCTGCGCTCTGATGGTTGACCTTGGGGAGTCCTTGAATCACCTACTGGATGAAAGAGCTGCACGATTTGATGCTGGGACGGAAGATGACGAAGACGTTGCCGACACTACACTCCAATTCGTTTTCTTTGACGGCGAGGAGGCTTTTGTCGCATGGACTGACACAGACTCCATCTATGGTGCCAGGCGAGTTCTTCGAAACCTCCGTCTTCCATCCTGTCGAACCGGTCCACAGACATCTTGCCGAGAAATGGGCAACCTCGTATATCATGCCCCACAGTAAACGACGTTTGATGGGTCCTCAAGACACCGAGATATCGGGCATCGAGCATTTTATTCTTCTGGACCTCCTTGGTGCCGAGAACCCACAGATCCGCTCATATACCCTGGACACAGCATGGCTCTACGATGCGCTGGTGTCGGTGGAGACGCGTTTGGGCGATAGTGGAGCCTACGCCTACGGCAGCGAGCAGAGTATGGCTCCTGGGCACTGGCGATCATTTTTCGCCTCTCGTAGCTCTGTGGAGATGAATCTGGGTGGAATTGGGGACGACCATGTTCCATTCCTGCAGAAAGGTGTTGATGTGCTGCATCTCATCAGCTCACCCTTCCCCAACGTTTGGCATACTGTTAGGGTACGTAGTCGGATCTCCGCTGTGAAAGGTCTTTGAATTGTCTTCACCAGGATGATGCATCCGCGCTGCACTTGCCAACTCTGCGAAGATGGAACATAATGATGCGAGTCTTTTTCGCCGAGTATCTGAATCTACGACCAGACGAGAAAAAATCTCGTGATGATTCGAGCACGGTCGTCGAGAGGTCGGAAACTGATCTTGTGAGCGCTCCATGATCTCATGCCGAAACCAGCTCACCGCGATCCGACCAGTAGCGCATTTAGTTCGTGTTTTTATGGAATGTACAGTACCTGTATCAATACAACACAGCACTAGAGAACCCTCTCGTCCGATGCCATCGTCCCCTTCCCAACACGGAAGACACGGCGCTCAGATCGTCAACAAGGTCTTGTAGTGCTTGATCAATCGAGAAGCGTCCGCCGCGTTCTGCAAAAACTGAATATATGCGTATGCATTATGATGGAAAGGCTGACCTTCTCATCCAGCTTACTCTGGTACAGCTGCGCGTCTGCGGCTTCAACACATTCGGCCAGTGCATCTGCTCTTCGAGCGCTGTTTGTTTCAACTAAAAGACGATTAGAAGGCGTCGGGACGATCTCGGTAACCTACTCATTTCGCTTGCAGCGTTGACGGCGTCGGAGCGGCGAGGGAAGAGATCTTCGAGGCCGGCGGGGTATACAGACAGCAATTCTTTGACTGAGTCCTTTTCCAGATGAGAAGCGCACCGGTGAACGGGGAACGAGACCTACCTCGACGCGATGCCAGGAAGGAATAACATCCTTGCTGTACTGATCAGCCGTCACTTCCTCCTGCTTCAATGCGAGAAGTTTCGCTTTCCCCTCCTCTCTGTAACCGGATAAGATCGCCCTGCTAGATCCTCACCTCAACTTACAGACAGGCTGTGCCATCTCGTGCCAGTTCCTTCGACGCCTTGCGTGCTGCGGTGTAAAGATTCTTTTTCTGAGTTTGAAAAGCTGCTGAACGCGCGGACGATTTCTTCGCCTGGCGCTCTGTCTGTTCTTGAATAAGGCTTTCAGTGTTCAAATGGGAGACGGACTGTTGTATTCGGCCAAGAAACGATTGATCATCTCAGTGCTGCCGAGCGAGACCGCTCCGTCAGAGACCAGAGCGCAATCGTGATCCAGGCGCACCTATCTTCACTCCCCTCCACGTCCATATCATCATCTTCTGCGATATCATCATCTTGTATCATGTCGAAGGCGTCCTCGGGAGCTGACTGGAACGACGTAGAGGCTGTCGGGCGGGTCGGACGTCCTGTTTGGCGTTTTGTGGTATTCTCTGTTGGTTGGTAATTTAATATGAGATTCAAACGTGGAATAAATGGTCTCACTAGGACTTCGGGCCATAGTGTTTCGCGAAAGAAGGCAAGGAAGCGAAAGTAAGAACTGGACGCGACGCGACGCGCTTGATGGGATCACATATCCGGCGAGTGCCGATGACGTAAAATCCTTCTCTCATCAACTCCCAGCTATATTTCAGCTCGAGGACGTTTAGGGACACGTTTGTCCTCCATTCCACCGAGTAGGAGATGGATTGGTAAAACTTTATGCTCCTCATACTGGACGAGGCTGAAGCAGTTGATCAGCTTGGAGTTCAATATCCACCAACGTATCCTCTCCGACATCGCGTCGAACGTTTCGGAGAATGCAGAAGACATCTCCTTTGCTCAAGATACGATCACAGCCAAGGTTCAAACCCGGGCGAACCCTGCTGAATTAGTGAATGGAGATTCTGGCCAGGGAGGTGGTGAGGTCGAGGAGGAGCGGGTGTTCATGGTGCGTCATAACTTCGTCCCAATGATTCGTACAATGAATGCCGCACGTAGTCCGTCTCGCGAGTGCACTGCAACATCGCATTTGGAGAACTCGTGGTCCATTTCCCTGAAGCTCAGATTGCCAATGCTATCGAGACACTGATGCCCGCGCTCATCGAGGTGCTCAGGGACGTACCCTACATCGATTTCGACAAGTGCCTCTCCTGGGAAGGTGAATCGAGACCCAAATCCGGACCTTGAAACTCGATTGAAATTTTCGTCAGAGTGGGCTCTCCCCGATCAGTTGGTGTTTTCGACAGTCTCGGCTCTCCTCCGGATTTCTAGCTCGCACGCGAAGTACAGCGATGTTGCTACTTCTGCAATCTTCTCTTTCATCTCGCGCATTGCAGAGAAGATACGCTCTGCCAGCTGTTAGTGAAGTACTTTCTCCTTAGCTGTCGCTGTTCTAAAGATCCCCAGCTCTCGACATCCTGACCCAGTTGACGCCGGCTCTCCACGGCCTGTATAGAGCCATCAGTTCGACGCCATTCAAATGGACTATATCTCAGTGGCACCAGCTCGCCCAACAGCTGGGCGAGCTGTGCGTCCCTGCCGTTGTCGATAGACTGAACCGCCTTGTTGCCGATATCATGCAGAAGGAGAATGCAGACCTCGAAACCTTGCACTTCGTGCAGACCTTCGTCTCGCGATACGTCTCATGCGGACGCCCTCTCAGTGGTTATTTCATCGTGTGCTGCATAATCGAGACCAACTGGACTGTTCTGGCGCAGGTGCTGGTCTCACCCGAGGCTGATTCGCCTGGAGGGCCGCCCAATGAAGCCGCCGCCGCGAACAACGCTTGGGTTGCGCTCATGCGTCAGGCCGCACCCGAGCTGGATATCGAGGATGGTGCGATCCAGTCAGCCCTCAAGGAGAAGGTCGAGTACTCGATGAAGTGCTTTGGAGATCTCTTTGTGCAATTGCAGGAAATGGATGCGGAGCCGTCTCTGGATACGTATGCGTATGAAACCCTCTCAGAGAGTTTGGTGACGTTCTTTGTCATTTTCATCATGCATTGATGCTCATTCATTCCACAGAAACTGGCGTCCATATGCTCCATCGCGTCTCGCAGCTTGGATGAGGAATTATACTCACGTCTCCTCTTGCTTCTGAGCGACGAGTCACCTATCTTTGACAACTTGGTGCAGGAGGCAGCCCTAAAAGCTACCATCGTCCTGGTTCATTCGTGAGTTTTGGTGTGACGTATTCGGGCTCCAAGCTAATGCCTGCTCACAAGCTTCCCTGACATTGCAGCACCCATGGCTACCCATTTACGACGCTTCGTCACTTCGCCTCTTCCCATCTTTGAGTTTGAGTTTGCGTCTGAGACACGGGCACCGCCGCCGTTGGCTGCTGCAGCCAAATGTCTGGCTGTGTGCATCAAGGTGAGCGAGCTTGATACCCTGAAATCCAGCTCACCGGTTGAAAAGCTTGCTCCTGGGGACGATCTGATTCTGTCGAACATGTACTCACTGCTCAATTACATCGCGGCCACAAGCAAGGAGATCTACGAAAGCTCAAGCAGCTCTCAGATAATGAGCAACCCGTTATACACCGGACACGATCACGCCACTATACATGCCGTCGAGTCTGGGCTGCGAGGGCTGAGCGAGGAGGAGAAACGGCTAGTTGGAATCAGCACGATCTCTGTCGTGACCCGACTTGCTCTGGAGTTCAAGATGGAGGAAGTCACGAGATTGACTGTTTCGATGCTGCTGCAACGGTTGAGATCAGCTGAGCCCACGGTCGAAGCTGCTATCGCCTATAATCTTGTTGATCTTGCCTTATTCGCGCCAGAGAGTGCGTTTGTTGATATCATCCGAGTGTTTTCGGTCATCAATCGGTCTGCGAACCCGGATGATCCCAGATTCTCGAATAACATGGTGAGTTTCACATGAATTTCTGATCGCTGATACTGATCGATTTGCAGGTGCTTGCTGCTCAAACGCGACTTGCGCAGGAACTCGATCGCCGACCTGAGCTGTATGAGATTTATCTTGTTGAGCTCCTTACTTTGTTTGCGGACAAGGGTGTCGCCATCCAGAACCTCAAAATTGCCAATCATCATGTCAAGGTCTGCCTGCAGCTTTGCACTGGATGAACTCGCTGGCTGACTCGGTATAGACGGATGATATGATCGAGCAGTTGGCGTCTTTGCTGCTTCCCATCGATGCACTTCTATCACACGATGACTTCAATCCTCATCTCAAGGCGGAAACTACTATCGTCTCGCTTTTCCGCAACATGTGGTTTCTGTGTATTCTTTTCGGATTCACATCGGACGATGAAGAGGCCTTGGCAATGGCGTGGCAGCGGCCCGCTCTTTCTCGTATCGCGGTCAAGACGCCAGCCACTGTGATGGAGGAGTCGCATGACTCAGTGGCAAGCAATGTCGAATACAACTCAGTCATTCGGCAGGACTACGCGAACACGATCATCTCTAAACACAAGTCCAGTTTGACAACGCATATCTCGTTACGGGCGAGCGACATTCGATCCCTGTCATCGGGTCAAATCGTCTTCCTGTTGACGATGCATGACGTTGAATCCATGCGATCGGCTGCGGGACTGCCTTCCTCGTTGGTCTCGTACTTTGTGAACGACAGTCTCAACTCGGATCCCGGTCTCAGCGTGTGCATGGAGTCGATCGCGGAGAAAGTCATCCGGGGCTCTGTCAGCAGCCTCAATGAATTGGCTGCTCAGCAAGCGCTGCCTGAGACGCTTTCGGCCGAATTGCGATCCCTGCTCGTCCACAGCACCCATCGTGTCGGCAAGGCCCGGGACATCGCGTCGAAATATCTGAACAGGCTGATCACATCATTCCCGTCATTAATGTGCGACCCTCCGCTGGTGTTTGCGATCCTGGAGGTGCTGACGCTTCTGCGGCGCGCATGCGAGAACGAATATCTGGACGAGTACAATCCCACATACGAGTTTGTGTCTGACCGGGCTGGGATCACCCTCCAGATGACGGACAGCTACACGGTGCGCAACGAGATTTTGGGCCAGCTGCAGCGCAGCGCGAACAACTGGTTCGAGCTAGCACTGGGTAGAGCCCCGGTTGAGTTGCAGTCAACATTCCAGGTCGGCTTTATTCGGCTTTATCGTTGGAGATGCTTATAAGATCACAGAAATATCTTGCGGCATCTGCAGGTTCGGAATGGACCGAGCTGGGTGCGTCCATAGCAGAGCAGTATGGGAAATCCATCGGTCCGGTGCAACGCCAGCTTGTCTCACTGGCGAGAATGTCCAAGTGGAGGACTGACGGGGCCAAGTCGCTTGTTGGCCAAGTGGCGAGCAAGAGTTACTTCGCCGGCGAGGCTGCGGGGATCCGTCTCGCAAGTCGGCAAGGCTCCGATAAACTTGAGAAGCTTCCGCCGCAGGCAGCGCCCACCTCCGAGATCGACGCGCTGAAAGCTAAGATGACGAGGACGCTGGAGGAAATCCGCATGAAAGTGAGCGGCTCGACGGTCCAGGATTTGAAGCGCCTTCTTTTCCGATGCGCGGCGACGCTCATATCGCTCTCGACGTGTGACTATGATCTGCTGCATTTCCTCGTTGCGCTGCCATTTGCAGTGGCGACGCCCTCGGCTGTCTCGGCAGGGATCGAGATCTGGACGTGGACCATCGCCGAGAAGCCGGACATCGAGGTGGCATTGATGGCGGAGGTCGTCTCATCGTGGTCAGATAGCATCGTGGAAGAGAGGGGCATCTTTTCCACCTCGCTCAAGTATATGCTTATCTTGTCCTTCCAACCTAATCTGACGCACCGTGCACAGCTATGACGATCCGTTCTACCACCCGATCGACTACAGCCCCACGGACAAGGAGATCATCGATCGCGGCACAACCAATGCACGTCGGCTTTTGGCGCCGCACGCGCTCATTCTGCAGATGCTGTTCAGCAGGCTGCAGGCTGCAAGGTATCGTCGGCCCGAGGTGCTGTTTTTGATCCAGCGCCTGGTTCTGCGTTCGGCCCGGGCGTTCAAGAAAATGAGGTCTGTCCCCAGCTTGTGTAATCTCCGCCTAGTAAGCTGATGTCAATACACACACAGCACCCATGCATTGGCGAGAGAAGCCCGGTTCACATTTTTGTTGTTTGGATTTGAGACTCTGAAGAGCTCGCATCTCGACTCCTTCTGTGAGAATCTGCTGAGAGAGGTTCTGTACTCTGTGGGATATTCGTGGTTTGCTGTTCGGCCGCAGTCAGTTGGTCTGGCCGCCACTCCGAACCTTTACTGAATCTTATGCTGCAGATGGTCGTACGGTGCCAATCGGGTCCAGGTGGATGCCGATATCAAGGTCGTCTCCGAATTCTTGTCGTGTTTGCAGACAGATGCCGTGAAAGGCACTGCTGTGATTTCGAGTCTGTCCCCCACGCAGGCCTCGTCGCGGAGCTCCCGTAAGCTTTCTAGCTCCGAAGGGCCGTGCTTTATCCTCACCTTTGGTAGAATACATCTCAAAAATGAGTGCTCTGAAGCACCCTCTGAAGTTGCTAGTCGAGAACGAAATCTACCGGCTGACGGTGTGGGCCAACCCGACCAATGACCCGAAGCGAGGATCGGATCACGTCGAGCGCGGCCTGCTCGAAGCGTCGTGGGCTTCGGTGGTGCGACAGGTGTGGGACATCGACCCGGCGATTGCGGTGCATCTCGCCGAGCGCTTCAAGAGCTATGCGGTTGTGCGCAACGAGTTGACGAAGCTGGTCAGGACCCATTCCCGCGATGTCCTGGGTACGCCGGAGGCCCTGCCGTTTTTGTTGGGAGATAAGGTGGAGGGCGGTGTTCGTCAGGATTTGAAGGTGCGTGGTTGAGGCTCCGTCGACGTGACGTCTCGGGTGATGACAGCGACGATCGCATAGTACCTGCTGCTTTGGGCGCCGGTGCCGCCTGTGATAGCCAACACATTCTTCGAGAGACGGTTCAAGAATGACCCGCTGATCCTGCAATATGCGCACCGAGTGTTGGAGCAGCATCCGGTCGACCTCACGTTCTTCTTCGTTCCACAAGTCGTGCAGGCGCTTCGTCACGATGAGCTCGGTGCGTAGATCTTGACTGCATCGGGTGTGTATACTAACATCGACCTAGGCTATGTGTCACGGTTCATCTCGGAAACGGCGAAGATCTCGCAGCTGTTCTGCCACCAGATCATTTGGAATATGAAGGCCAACACGTGCAAGGACGATGCTGGCGAGATCGAGGACCCGATGAAGCCTGTGCTGGATCGGATGACGGATATCGTGGTGTCGTCGCTGTCGGGCCAGGCGCGATCGTTCTACGATCGGGAGTTTGGTTTCTTCAACGAGGTGACGTCGATCTCGGGCAAGCTGAAGCCGTTCATCAAAAAGACCAAGCCGGAGAAGAAGGTATCGAGGATTGATGCAGCACAGGAAGAATACCCTATTGACGCTTTGTGGCACAGGCCAAGATTGACGAGGAGATGGCGAAGATTACGGTCGACGTGGGTGTGTATCTGCCCAGTAACCCCGACGGGATCGTCGTCGACATCGACAAGAAGTCGGGCCGGCCGCTGCAGAGCCACGCGAAAGCGCCGTTTATGGCGACCTTCAAGGTACGCAAGGACATGATTGTCGTGAATGAGGACCCCGAGTCGCTTGGGAACGAGACGGTGAAGACGCGGGTCGAGTACGATGTCTGGCAGCAGGCCATCTTCAAAGTCGGCGACGACTGCCGGCAGGATGTGCTCGCGCTGCAGGTCATTGCCATGTTCAAGAACATCTTCACGAGTGTCGGGTTGACGCTGTACTTGTATCCGTACCGGGTCACCGCCACTGCGCCCGGGGTGAGTGTTGTGTTGTGTCTGCAGCTGCGACGGGGGCCTAATTAGACGAATCGCAGTGCGGTGTGATCGACGTCGTGCCGAACGCAACCTCACGTGACGAGATGGGACGCGCGAAAGTGAACGACCTGCTTGACTTCTTCATCGCCAAGTACGGCGGGCAGGACACCGTCGCGTTCCAGCACGCGCGGCTGAACTTCATCCAGTCGATGGCGGCCTATTCCGTCGCGTGCTACATCCTGCAGATCAAGGACCGGCACAACGGGAACATCATGATCGACGGCGAAGGGCACATCGTGCACATCGACTTTGGGTTCCTATTCGACATAGATGAGTGTCCCTCCTGCCTGTCCGTGTTGATGGTTGTATGCTCACCCTCGCTGAACGGCCCGGCGGCGTCAAGTTCGAGCCGCACTCGTTCAAGCTGAACCACGAGATGGTGATGCTGATGGGCGGGCGCAACTCGCAGGGCTACGCGCTGTTCCAGAACCTGACGGTCAAGGCGTTCCTCGCGATCCGGCCCCACGCGGAGCAGCTCGTCAGCACGGTCTCGCTCATGCTCGACACGGGGCTGCCCTCGTTCAAGGGCGAGGGCACCATCAAGCGCCTGCGCGACCGCTTTGCGCTCGGCCTGAACGAGCGCCAGGCGGCGGAGTGGATGATGAGTGTCATCAAGAACGCGCACGAGAATGTCAGGAGTACGGCGTATGATGAGTTCCAGCGCTTGCAGAATGGTGAGCTTTGTGTGGGTTTGGTTATTTGTCTGTGCGGCTGCTGACTCTTTGGGATAGGTATACCCTACAAGTAGTCGATAATGGACGCATCTGGAAACATGTACATATATTTCAAGTATACCACCCTCGAGTACCGGGCCATCACACGCTCACACACATGATATCATCCTGGGCATGTCGTTCTCGATATATTATTTAATACTTTTACTTACAATATCAATGCCTCTATTTACGCCAATTGAGCAGCTACACCTTGGAACAGGTGCGACACCTTCGCCCCGATCCGCTGCACGCCAATCCCAAACCCAAGCAGCACGCCCATGTCGACCGCACCGAGCTCGACGACCGCGGCCATGAACCGCGGCGCAAACACCTTCCAGACCATCAGGTGGCGGCGCAGGATCGCCGCGCTGGCGGCCGCGCCGAGCATGAGCAGTGCGTAGTACAACATGACGCCCAGGCCGGCGACGATGCTCTCGCCCTGCACCTGGCGGTCCGCACGGCCCAGCGCCGCGGGCAGCGGGGACCTGTTCCACAGCGCCAGCAGCGGCACGGCGAGCCCGACGAGCAGGAACGGGCCGAACGAATTGAGTGCGACGGTCGCGGCGGAGAGCGCAAACTGCATCGTCGGCGTCAGCATGAACGCGGATTTCCACTGGATGGACGAGATGGTCGCCTGGTGCCCCGTGGCGTAGAACGCGTGCAGCGCGAGCAGCGCGACGGGGATGACGTCGTTGAACACGATGGGCGGCGAGCGGATCACGCGGGCCGTGTCGAGCAGCGCCGATGGGTTGGTCTCGGCTAGCGTTTCCCACATCCGAGCATCCCGCGCAGAGTCGACGATCTCCAGGAAAGCCACGAGCGCGATGGCGGTCAGCCCAAGAACCAACTGGCCGGTAAGCTGTGTGGTTGTGTATACGACGGCGAAGAACAGAGACCAGAAGAGGAGATATGAGGCCCCGAAAGCGTTGGCATATCCAACCACGGTGACTTGAGGCGGCTCGTCTTTCTCCATGCTCTGGGAGCGCTCGATCTCCAGACACAGAGGCAGATACCACCACAACGCGCCGCCTGCGACCACGACATAGCCCAGCGAGGACCTGATCAGCCACGTCCTAGCCCACCTCGTCAACTCCGAGTCCATCAGCTCCGCAGAGTCGAGCCATTCGAGCACCCAGAACATTGTGCCAGAGAACAACGTCGGAGTGAGCACGAACGGCATGTATATCCTGGCCAGGCCAACATGCGATTTGGATATCCGCAAGAAGCGGCGCAAGATCACAGGCAGCGCGAGGGATGTCGGAATAGCCAGCAGGAGAACCAGAGTCGGGGGTGACGGCAGCGACGAAGACGCGTAAAAGGTCACGTGGCAGAATGGCTGCTGCTCCTCTCGACAAACAGTGCTGACCGCGATCAACCTGACACAGACAGCAAACAGGCCGGAGAATCCGAGCAGGCGGTACCGCAGACGCCCTGAGGCTGCTGTGAGGCCCTTGAGTGCATAAGGGATGATCGAGGTCACGAGCAGGAACGTGACAATCCGGTCCTCCCAGAACGTGAACGAGTTGGAAAAGAAGGTGATCGAATGAAGGATCAGCACAACCGGAATTGATTTCCAGCTCGGGAAGGAGGGAGGTGATGAGGCTATCATGACGATGCAGCAAGCAAAAGGCGCGCCGAATAAGATGCAATCCAGCGAATCCATCCCAGGCAGATAGTTCGCCAATAGCAGGGACAAAGCAAGACCAGATATCGAGCCCACGGCAGCTCCCCGCATGTATTTCTGCAGCTGGCCGTCCAGCCACGCATCCCAGTCGTCTCCAGCTTCAGACAGCCCGGAATAGACCGACCACGTCGCCAATACACCCATGCCCAGCAGCACCAATCCGACACCCATCAAGACCGCGTTGAACTGCGCCCAGATCGCACGGCACGACGACAACGCAACACGCATGTACGACGACATGACGATCAGACCCTGCTCCGGGGTTAGACTCACTGCCCGGGTGGCAGTCCAGGCAGAGTTTAAAGTGTACCACGAGTCGTCTAGTTCCCCGCCCGATGGACTGGCACGGTATGCAGCAAGATAGTTTTTCACCTGCTCCACGTTGATCTCAAGAGCCCCGCTTAAATGCTCCTCTGGAGATTTGGTGCGCCAGAACAGCTCAGGAATCACGGCGCCCAGGCTATTGAACGGGATAGGGAGACCGAGCAGCAGGGAGAGAGTCGGGACGATGTCAATCTGCTGGATGAATCGATGTGGAGTAGGCGCGCCCGGAAAGGTCCTGTATTGCAAGAGGCCGGGTGGGGCCGCACTGGGGGCGGTGAGCTCGGGCCCTTTGCTGTAGATCCACATCGCCGACGACGTCTCGTGCGTTCCATCGCCTCCGTGGTCACCCGACCGGTCCATCCCATGGTCGCCCAACACGACCAAGAGCGTGTCCTCGTCCAGCAGCTCAACAACACGCCTCAGCACGCCGTCCATCTGCTCCAGCTTGGTCTTCATGCTCGGGTGGTCGGGCCCGACGCGGTGTCCGACATGGTCCGCGCCCAGGAAGTGTCCCACGAGGAAATCGAACGGCTTGCCGGGGTTTTCGAGGAGGGGGAAGAGGTGCTCTATGACGCCCTCGTCGACGGTGTGCAGGTCCTCGACGTTGAACGAGTCGTACGGGAACGTCATGTTCCACGCGAACGAATCAGGGAACACGGACATCCACGTGTCGTCGCCCATGAACGCGATCTTCCGTCCACATGTGAGCCACGCGGAAGCACACACACACCGTAAATGAACCCGGACGCACCCGCTTGCCCGCCAGCCCGAGCTGCTTCACGATGGAGTCCTCGGCGATCGACGACCCGCCAAAGTTGTTCCCGATGTCCACGAAGGTGGGCAGCGAGCCCGTCGTCAGCGCCTTGATGCGCTGCAGCGTCGCGGTCGGCGGGTCCGAGTACGCGTCGAACAGGAACGAGTGCCGCGGGTGCTGCGCTGTCAGCTCGGCCGGCAGCGTGAGGATGTGGTGGTGGTGCGGCGACGGGGGCACGGGCGGATGGGGGGAGACGAAGTCGAACCGCAGCGCGTCGATGATGAGGAACACTGCGCGCTTGTGCGTTGCGGGCAGAGTGCATGGTGGGGAGGACGCGGCGGAGCAGGATGTGTGATTCGGTAGCGAGAGACGTGTTAGCAGGAAGCCGTTCGTGAAGAGATATATCCCGGCTACGTGGATGAGTGTTATCAGCGAAAGGATGGCAAAACCTCTCGAGAAAGCCATCTCAGGACCACTGGTTCCCTGGGCGGACTAGAAAGAATAGCAAGTTCGGCTGTCTCAGCAGAGACGAACGAGCGAAGAAAGACGTATCCAAAACAAGATTTAGGCTATCACAAATGAGGGTACACGGCACGAGTGTTGCCAGAAACGGTCTGCGCCCTCGTATCCGCTGTTTTGAGTTCAAATGAAGCAGAGAGTGAAGATCAAAGCCGTGTGACCGTGCGATCAATCTCGTTCAGCTACAACCGTCATGGCGATCTATGGGCTCTGGGTGAACTGCACCGCGTTGGCCACTACTCCACCACCGCTTACGGACATTCCACTAGGTCATCAACAAAGCCGGCGGACTCGTCTATCAGCGCAACTTCGCAGGTGCATCCGTTGTCGTCTCGTCCAGTCCCAAACCGCTGCCCTGACACGAACGCGAAGAGGGCTTAGCGCAGCTGACGTCGAACGAGTATCTCGTCCTGGCTGGAACGCTGCACGGAATCCACGCGATTACCAGCCGTCTGTCGCCCACGGGGCCGAGCTCCGGTGCGCAAGTGATCGAGGGGGAGTCGTTCAAGATGACGATCCTGCTCACGGCAACGGGTGCGCGAGCGTCTCTCAAAGCCGCGCCGACCCCGAGACTAACCGTACACCTGCCTGCTCCCAGGCACCAAATTCGTGCTCATCACATCTCTGGCGGAGGTCAGTCCCGACAGCACCCTGCAGAAGGTGTACGAAGTCTACTCCGATGCGGTGATGAAGAACCCGTTTCACACGCCCGAGATGCCCATACGCAGTGAGGGATTCGACACGCGCATAACGGCGCTCATTGGCAACGGCCACGGCGCCTGATCGTGAGATGCCTAGCGAGCCCCATGGACCCTGAGACCGCTTTGCGTCGTGCGACTTCGAGTCCCAGGGTACCGCTGTGAAGATTGGAACAAGGCTCAATACCGTCGCGGAGTTCACGCGCGAAGATGAACGAGGTGTCATGCGCATCGGCGGGGGTGCTGTCTCAACGATTGGGCACTGGTGCAGGTGAAGGGAACGGGGCAAGATACCATTGATAGCGGAGCATAGAGATACGTATAAGAGATGCACCACAAACACTAGTTACAAGCAGGGAAACAAGTGCTGATTGTAAGCAACGAAGTATCAAGCAACCGCGGATGGTCTCCGATCCGAGCGCTGAACGATAAATCAGTTGACGAGGCAGTCCGGAAGGATGCTGCATTTACGGCAAGAACTATCCGCAGCTTGAGCGCAAGTCAGAGCCCAAGTGCAGGAAGTCGAGCTGGTGATGCATCCATCGCCAGAAATGGGCCACGAGTTGGGCGTCTTGCCCATGCACCCTCCATCCTTCCATCTCCGGGCCTTAAGTCCCGTCAATCATCGCAATGTTTCTCACGGTCGAGTGGGTGGTACACCTGGCGTCTCTTTCGGGAAAGTGGCTTATTCAGCAAAAAAAGACAGCCTACGTAGTCCTGTCTTTCATGCATTCTGACACTACGGGCTTCAGCGACAGAGCCTGAAATACCAGCGGGAGCTGCCCTGCGATATCCGCCACAGGCATCAGCGTCAGGCCCATGCGCACCTCCATGCGTCCGACGACAGCCGGTACAAAGTAAAGCAAGTCCACCTCACGATAGTCTCCCCCACGGTTTCCTCCATATGATCCTCGAGCGGGCATTTTTTGACTATCCCGTCGTGCAGTTCGAGGAGCGGAATCGATATAGAGAACGACTCGATGACGTCATCGCGCGCCGCCTTCCTCTCGTGCGTGTCCCCGATCCTGCGCAGAGCAAGTGAGCGGAATAACTGTGCACAGGCGTAAGCAGAATCGCGGATGCGGACGAGCGGGCGGCCGTTGCGCGTACACCGCCGGGGGGTCCACGACGAAAAGCCCACAGCGTGGTCCACCAGCGACGGGGACGCGGGGACGAGGAAGAACGCCGCGCGGAGGTCGGATGGCATGACCGCGGATGCGGATGCGAGGTGAGGCTGTGTGGGGATGCGCAGGGGGACGCGCGCCGAGGCGTGTTTCGTGGAGAGGCGCAGCGCGCGCAAGACGACCTCTGAGAGGAGCGGTACTTCGCGCGCACCCGTGTGGCTGTCTTCCTCTTCCTACCCCTCCGAGTCGTCGTTGGGCGCACGCATCCACACGGCGACCGCGATGTCGAACGTGTCGTTCTCTGAAATGAGCGGTCGGATGCGATTCAGATACACGGCGCCTGACGGGAGCGACGGTGCATAGAGAGCGCGGTGGGGAGCGCGGATGCCCAGCACGAGAGAGACCGAGTGCAGACCCGCAAACCAAGCAGCAAGGCAAAGGAGCAGAAATGCTACTGCAGCGGTCGTCCTGCATAGACACTGACAGACCGAGGGTCGACGAGAATTCAGGGCAAGAGTTTTCGTTGTCTCGTAGATGCCTGTGCTTTCTTCATGCATTGGACAGATGGTGGATCAGGGGAGCATTGCGTCAGTTGCAAGCGTGAAGGATAGATTGATCGGAGTCTTCGGGAAAAGCCGATACCGACGGGTTTTGCCGAGTGGCGCATGTGGCGAACATTCAAATTCACACCCATCTAGTCGAGTTCAAAGTGATGGATGTCATGTACGTATATGATCCACTTATATGCACTCATAAATAAGTAAGTGGTGCTCTACTACTCGAGTGTCTGGTCAGAATCCAGTAGACTCGGAGGAGGTGTTCCGTCGTTTCTCTTGATGAAGGCAATCGACATCTTCATCAGTCAGATCGCTGTATTACGTATGAGCATATTCTGAGGCTGCATTGGCACGTTCCACGCACGGAGAGTATTTGCGCTTGAGAGATATTGCAGAATCATCCTGCACGACCAAGCGGGAGTCAACGCCACCGCTGACCCTGCAATCAGATTAGAGCGCTACCCGAGATTGCACCGTGATAGTGCACTCACAGCGTGCTGAGAGAGTGATGTGATTTGCTTCTTCTCAACTTGCGCCCACCAGGGGATCTGTATTGGCTGCATTTCAGTGGAGTTGAATTTCTAATTGTACCTCCAGGTTCAACGAGAATCACATACGATCCCACTTGGGCAGTCGCGATCGGCGGTTCAGGCACCGAAGTCCCTGGACACGATGCGATGAGCATTTTTCTGGCACTGATCAGATACGCGCCGCTCAGACTAGAAATGTTTGTCATCAGCACGCAGGTGGCATGGCGCTCGAGAAACGGCGCACCACGTCCGACTCCCCACCCGACTCCGCCTCTCCTCAACCAGATTTCCGCAAAGCTCATCGCTAGACATCTCCCGCGGCCTCCGCTCCCTCTTGAACACGTTCCCGGATCGCAGAGCTTTAGCCGCCGTCCGCCGACACGATAGGGCGCGCAGCTTTTCGGCCTCCGTCGCGCCCCGCACAGCCACGCGCAGGAGCTGCCTCAAGTGCACCTGCTTCAGAACCGATGTGTGGGGTGCCTTTCTTGGCTCTGGGGCTGCTGGGAACGTGGATGTCGCATGAGCCTGGGAGGGTGGCAGGCGTGCATTGGGCAGGCTGTAAGCCAAGCGGGCACGGTCTTGGGCGCGGAAAGTGGGTGTTAGATGGAGCATTTGGTTTCCAGCAACATAGAGTCTCTGGTCGAAGTTTTTGGAGAGCGGGGGGACAGTGACACGACATATACTTTGACGAATGCCATCACGTGACCGCGATTGAAACAGCTGGTTCAAAGGGATCGAGTCGGGATTCCAAAGGCCTCTTTGTCGCGAATGAGCTGCTGATATAGGGAGAGCGTGAGCGACATAAACAGCTCCAAATGCACAATTTGCGGACAAGACTTCAGCAAAAATCGCATGGAGTTAGCCTCTTGGAACATACTTCCTTTCGCGAGATCGAGTCACGTGTATGTGACAGGACGCGTCCACGGTGGGTCATTAATCCTTCCCTTATACTAATAGATATAGAATATACAGCTGGTCTATGACGGCGCCGCCGCCTCGTCGCGATACCCCGGCGACGAGCGGCCATCTCTCGGCGGATACCCAGGCGTGCCGTTGTCCTCGTCGTCATCCAGGAACCCCGAATGGAATCCCACGTGCCGGTACGGCCCGGTGCGCAGGCCCGTGCGCTCATCGGCCTCGTCCGAGTCCATGGACCCGAAGGACCGCCGGTCGGGCAGCGGCGAGATCATCTGCATCGGCACGTTCCCCTCCGGGAGCGCCAGGTATACCGTCGGCCGCGCCTTGACTGCCCAGTTCCAGAGCATCATGCCACCGACGAAGCAGACGAGCGTCAGCACGATGATGGCCCAGACGAGTTTTCGCTGCATCGCCTGGAACAGTTTCGTGACGTTGGAAGTGCTGGGGGAGGCGGAGGGTTTGGCAGACGAAGTCGCTTCTGCTGCGTCGACTGCGCCTGGAGTAAAGAGAGCCGTCGAGGAGCCGGTCGCCGTCGCTGTCAACGATGTCGGGGTCGCGAGCGCCTCTTCCGACGTCAGATGCACCGTCGGCTTGACATACGACTTGGTGCTGGCAACAGATGTCGTGGCAGTAGCACCGGCAGGCCCTGAATTGGACGATGCCTTGGGCACAGCATCGGGCCCAATCGGAGGCAGAAGAGGCTGTTGATCCACCAGATCGTACAGAACAGCTTTGAGAGGGTCGACGACGGATCCCCAGAAGACCATGTTCCATCCAAGCAACGACCCATGGTGCTGTTCTGAGCGCTGGTCAGTCACACTCAAAGTCCAGTCGCCAACCATGTCTTCGCCCCTGTCGAAAAATAAGCCCGCGGGTAATCAAGTCTGATCACTCAGACAAACCAATGTTTGATGGTCATAAAAGTCCAGCCGGGGTACCCAGTCCTTGCGCCGTCCCCTTGTCGCTTCTCTGCCAGTACGCTCTTGATTCCATTGGGACTGGTTAGGGCGACCTCGACATCCCCTCGTCGCGAGTGATCGATCCAGACTCGCACAACGATATGCTCCAGCCTCTCAAAGTTCGCTTCATGAAGCATGTCCCAGTCAACAGAGATGACACTCGACGCTCCCCCAGCCCCGATAGCCTTGCCACCGGTGTAGTTGGCCATCGAGCTCATCAACCCGCCATCAACCTGAATCGTCCGCGTCGCCATTCTCGCCTGGGGCTTGACGAGTTTCCAGTCCAATGCAGCCTTGACGTAACGGGCGCCATCCAAAGCACCATACCCGAATTTGGAGCTGTATTTGCGCCCGGACGCAGTCACTTCCCAGTCCTCATCGTCCGGGTTGATCATCCGGGCCGTCTCGACGCACAGATGCTGGACATCCCGCCACGTCAGCTCAGGTCTCGCTTGCAGTGCAAGTGCGAACACCCCGACAGCATTCGGCGCGGCAGCCGACGTGCCGCCGTGCGCGGACGAGCATTGATTTTCTCCTTTGTCGGTGGTGACCTGGTAAGGTGAGCCTGGAAAAACTTTTGGAAGCCGTGAAGAACGCACGATCGTTTTCCCGCTCCCGGAACTATAGGCGACCACCATGTTCGCAGTGCACCCCTCAGAGTAATACGGGCGCAGTCCCTTGTGGTCCACGGCAGAGACAGTAACCGAGTAGATGCTGTTCGTGTAACCGTCGAAGTTGCACTGGTCGCCCGACATCGCGCCATTGCCCGAGGCGAACACGAAAACAGAGCCCTTCCCGCCCCGACCGTTGTTGATTCCGTTCACCACAGCTTTTTGGATCAAATAGTCAGGTCCCTCCATCACAGCGCCAGAGTCCGTCGGGCCCCAGGAGCACGAGTAGATCGACACATTGTGGTAACCGTAGTTGAGCGCCGCGGCCTCGTCCACGTCCGAGATCGGACCGGAGAGGATGCGCACGCCTGCGACTTTGGATTTATACGCGATGCCCAAGCCGCAGACAGCGTTCTTCCCAGCCGCGACCTGCCCGGCGCATCGTGTGCCGTGGGTGTCGTCAGACAGCTTCGGGTACGGCAGGGCTTGGTGGTCGTTGAAGTCGTATGAGGATGCCGCATCCTATCCCCATCAGTCGTCTACGCAACAGCACAGAGCGTCCACGCACTCACAAAGTTGTCTTTCAGATCCTCGGACGTGTAGTCCAGCCCGTCGTCGACAAACGACGAGATGACGCCTTCGCCTGTGTAGCCCATGTCCCACACGGGGACGACGTTCATCGAGTGCTCGGGCTGCTCGTCGTTCACCAGATGCCATTGCTGCGTGAACAGCGGGTCCTGGAAGCCGAGCCGCGTCGCCACCGCCCGCGAGTCCTCACCACCGGTCGGCTGCTGCGGAATCGGCGCACGTCGTGCACGCTGTCGAGGGACCTGACGCGAGAGGTATTTGATCGCCCGACCCGTACGCAGATGCAGCTGTCCACCATCGCCATCGCCGCCGTCGCGACCGTCATCACTGCGACTCTGCAGATGCGGCTGCCCAGCACTCAGCCGCGCATACGCCGCCATCACATAATCCGGCTCGTCCTCGTCCTCCGCCCGCGCAGCGATCCGCGGCGTCCGCACCAGCCAGTGATTCGGGAGCTCCCCGGCCCTGTCGACGACCTCCACGCCCAGGACGCGGGCGACGTCGCCCAGGGAGGCGTGTCCCGGGTCGACTTCGACCACGTAGTACGCATGGGAATCGTAGTTCCTCCTCGAGTTGGTGTGTGCGGAGATGGAGAGAGGAAGTTGGAGAATTAGGAGGGAGAGAGAAAGGAACGTTTTTAGTGACCGCATTGGTGCGCCGGTTTTGACCGTCGCACTGCGCGGTGAGAGAGAGAGAGTTCAGAAGAGTGGGGGAAGCTGCGGCAGTGCCTCCGCTGTCAGTGAGCGTTCACAGCCACCGATCGCTAACTTATTGCCGCCGGCTTTGATTGCTTTTCCAGGGGCTGGGAGCCGTGTCCCGAAATGCTGCTCTCAGAGTCGAAGTTCTGGAGATTCAGAGCGATGATTGTGGATACCGGGACTCAATCTGGATGCGTCATTTGTTGCGTCCACAGGTCCGGTGGGGCCGGTGCACGGCACACGGGACAGTGCGCATGAGGGGAAGGTGTGGAAGACACTCGTCAGAAACACATCATCCTGCCAGTTCGCAACCTTTGAACGGCCCGAATTCGGAGAAATACTGGAAGAGACGACCACCGTTTGGTAGCCCCATTTGCAGCAGCAGCGAAAGTTGCAGGTCTTGGTGACAACTGATGAGCACGCATAGACTCGGACGATATCAAGGTTGATCGTGCCGCAGCTCAGCGTTCATATATACAGACCGAGCTCTGGTGGTGAGATTGCACCGTCTAACAATTCCCTCACGCGTCTTTCGCCAGGATCTCCTCCACCCGCCGCACCTTGTGGTCATTGCCTGTCCCAGGCTCAATGGTCCTGTCGACACGCGTCCCGATGCGGATATCCGTCGCGATCCGGGGCGCACCCGCAGCGTGGACGGCCGCATGACAGGCTTCGATGGCTGCCGAGACTTGCGTCCAGGGACCCTCTGTGGAAGCCGTGTTGGATGACAGAGGTCGATGATACCTGTCAGAGCGTACCCAGGTTCGTGCCGTAACCGCTGGACGGCCAGATTGCATAAGCTCTGGCCAGGTCGGAAGATATTAGATAACGCACTGCATCTATGTATCACACCCCGTGAGCAGGCAGGAGGATCGACACGGGTCTTGTGGGCAGACCTTGTACTGTAAACCAGATTTTTCGAGGACGCGCTGACATTCTGCGATGTAACTCGCTACCGAGGGCTCCCCGGTGCCCATGGGGATGAGGCAAAAGTCTTTCTGCGTGAACTTATGAAAACGGATGCAGGGGAATGAATACCAGCAACGGCATATAGTTCATTGGACTGGGACATGATGGTGGGTGTCGGCTAAGATGAGGAGTTACTATATTTGTACTTGTCTCCAGCCCCCATGTCTGTTCAGTCGCGGATACACACCTTCGAGACACTGAATGGTGGCGGCACAATAGGGCTGCAGAGTCCTCTCTCCCCCAAAGTCATTCCATCGACGCCACCCAAATTGTCGCCATCGCCGTCACCCCCCAACCTGGGGCGCAAGTCGTCCCTCATTGACCTCAAGATCGACTTGAAGGATTGGGTACTCGACGACGGGTCGCCTCCGCGCGCAAATGGATTCAGCGGGGCTTATGACGATGCGTTGATACACTTTTCGCCGCCCAAACCATCCTCGGTGAAATCACAGAAATCAGGGAAAGCACCCCCCTTGCCCCTGAGGAAACCTTCTTTAGCCAGTTTGAAGAGCGTGTCCTCCCTTCCGCCGACGTCCAGTCCCGCAGCGGCGCCGCCGTTGCCTCGGCGAGGAGATTCTCTGACTGTGGAGCATACGTACCCACCAAAGCTGGGAGGGACGTTGACGTTGGACATTTCCTCGACCAATCGACACACGCACGGCTCCTCCATCTCCTCCTTCTACTCTGTGTCACTGTCGGACAAATCTCCCAGTCCCGTCACGACTGTCTTCCCGCAGCACGAGACCGGAAGCTCCAACTCGGAATCGTTCGAGGAATTGTCCGCTTCGGCAGCCATCGCCAGTCCTGCGACCGCGAAGATGATCGCGCAAGACTGGGAACGGGCGATGGAGAGGCGGCAGCCACCGAAGCTCCCCATGCGTCCTCCACCCGTGACGACCTCGCCCCC